TGCCGGTGGCTGGGCTTCCAAGCCAGACGCCACCCCACCGGCTTTGGTGGCCGGAGCTGACGCCCACCGTCTTTATTTTTTTTTTTTTTTAAAAAAATAATTAAATAATTACCTTGCCACCAGGTCGCCGCCTTTCCTCCGCCGTCGCCGCCGCCACCTCTTTCCCTTGCCGCCGTGACATTGTCGTAATTAATTTTTTTAGGAGAGGTAGATTTTCTGATTTTTTTTAGAGAGAAGTAGAGAGTGTTTTTTTTAAAAAAAAATGAAAAGGGCAATAGAGTCAAACCAAGTTATATTTGTGGGCTTTATATGGTAATTTGCGGGCGATGTTTAACAAATCCCTTTTTAAATGGGTGCGTGATTTGTGGAAAATAAGGAAGTAACAAGTCAACTACTCAACCTACCTGTGGCAAGGGTGAAGTAAGGCCGCTAAAAAAAATGTCACTAATACTAATAGTCTAATGGAAATGCATCTGTTAGCTAGTGGCAATTCATTTAGACATCTTATTGAAGAGGCTATAGTGGGATTTCACAACTGTTGTGTACACAATGACAACAATTGTTGTAAGCTAAAGTTCTTAGAGAATAATGCTGCTACTAGCAATTTTGCTAGTAAGTGTTAAGCCTAATATTGTATAGCTAACGGGCCAATGTTACCGGCCCTAATCTCTTGTATTAGGTTGTATATATAAACTTGTGCATAGAGTAATACAACGAAGGAAAATCATGACATGTTATAGGAGCCTCCACACTCTAAACCCTAAAAACAACACTCTAAACCCTAAAAGTTTGATTTTTTTCTCTCTACACTCTACTCGATTAATTAACAATGGTGGACGATGACAAGATTGATCCCACTGTACACTATACTAATTGACAGTTATGTGTCATGTAGAATTGCAATTTAAGGACCCTAATTGGAGCAATTGAACAATGTGACAAAGTATATTAATTCAAGCTTATGAAGCATATATTAAGGCAAATCAAACAATTGTGGTCGAACAACAAGTATAGTGTCATCATCAATTGGACATCCTTCTCGAAAAACTGCTTCTTTTACCTTTTTATTTTGTCTACATGAAGCTCACACTGAGAACAATATTATTGCTACTAGAGACTCATGCGGGCACCTATTAAGTAGTTCATCAAATTAAAAGTGTCTTTAATACGAGTTCGGAGTATCTTTTAAGGTTTTAAATAAAACACAATTGAATTATTCATGAATAAACACAATCGAACTTTTACTTGGAAAAATAAAATACACATGTGAAGTCAAATATCCGAAAAAACAGCAAGTTTATAACTTAGATAAACGTGGAAATGTTGAGACTTGGGAAATACAATATACTAAGACCACTCTCAATGGTGAGCAAAAAAAATGCTCACCCACTCTCTCTCTACCCACTTTCTCTCTCAAGAAATAAGTTTTGCTCATGGGCAAATTTTTTTCACATATTCTCTCCCAATGGTGAGCAAAAAAATTGCCCACCCACCACTCTCTCTCTCTTACTTTTTCAATACCCCACCATTACTTTCTCTCTCCTACACAACACTTCTTTATTTATTTATTTCATTTATATTTTAACAATGTTACTCCAAATAAATAAAAACTAGTTAAAATTTGTGTAACTTATTTTTTTTATTTTTGTCCTTTTTATCGTTAAAATTTGTCGTAAAATTAAGTACGTTATATAAATTTTTTTTTAAAAAAAGCTCAAAATTTCTTAAATGTTTTTATTTATTTTAAAAGCGGTACAATACTAGAAACCAATTACATTTGCAACGTCATGCGTAATTAAACTTAGGAAATAAAATAAACACAACAAGTAAAAGTAGCTACGCCATAGTACTTGGCTTTATTTAAGTCGTGCTAATTTCTCCCTAATTACGTGGCCCGTAGTGTTGCCAAATATGTTCGACTAAATCACGTTTCAGAGATAGATGAATTTCTCTGTCACGGAGGGAAGCTTTTCGCTGTAGAAATGCGTTGAAATCAAAGTTGGTAGGTCGGCCTACGTTGAATTCAAACGGTGGCGTTGTAGATGTTGATGCTGGTGTTGATTCTTGTTGATCTTCTTCGTAGAAGGCTCTTAGAACTTCGGCTCGAGTGTAGTTGTGGCGCTCATCTTCAACAATCATGTTGTGCATAATTATACATGCTTTCATTATGTCCCGCAGTATGTCCTCATCGTACGCCAGCGACGGTTTTCGTATTATTGCAAATCGAGCTTGCAACACACCGAAAGCTCTTTCAACGTCCTTTCGAGCGGCAGCCTGGTGGTCAGCGAACATTTTATCTTTGGCCAGTTGAGGGAATGTGATACCCTGAACAAAAGTTGCCCACTTCGGATAAATGCCGTCGGCTAAATAATAAGCCATGTTGTATTCATGGCCGTTAACCGTAAAATTTACCGGAGGAGCTCGACCATGCAGAACCTCATCGAACACTGGTGAACGGTACAAAACATTAAGATCATTACAAGATCCGGGAATACCAAAGAAGGAATGCCATATCCATAAATCCTGATCCGCAACGGCTTCCAGTATTAGCGTTGCTTTCTTGTTCCTACCGGCGTACTGCGCTTTCCAAGCCGTTGGACAGTTCTTCCATTCCCAATGCATGCAATCAATGCTGCCTATCATGCCTGGAAAACCACGCAGTTCATTTTGATGCAGTATCCGGGCCAATTCATCAGTTGTACGGTTTCGCATGTACTCGGTTCCGAACTGGTCAATGACCCCGGCACAAAAACGTTGTAGGGCAACTCGAGCGGTTGACTGACTGATTCGAACGTATTCATCAACAGCGTCTGCAGCCATGCCATAGGCTAACATTCGTATCGCGACTGTACATTTTTGAAGTGGTGATATGCCTAACTTTCCAGTTGCATCCCTACGCTGCTGGAAGTAAACATCACCTTCAACGACCTTGTTCATTATACGTAAAAACAAAGGTCGTTGCATACGAAATCTTCTTCTAAATTGGGTGGTATTGTACACAGGATTATCAGAAAAATAATCATTGAACAGCCTGGCATGTCCCATTTCCCAATCTCTTCTGTTCGTACCCCCTCTACGTGATTTTGAAGTACGTTGGGATTGTGTTTGGGCCATGAGGAAAGATGTGGGTTGGTATGTGAAGAGTTCATCAACGAGTTGATCATATTCTTCATTATTGGAAGAAGATGAACTTGAACTTGAACTTGATGATGGTCTGGAATATATCATGTATTAATATTGTAATTTTCTGAATTGGTGTGGTTGTGGATATGTGCCATGCCTACTATATATAGCAAATAAATCAAATGAATATGTGGTTACAAATCTGAATGACCACACCAACTAAAGCATTCAAATTTTCAGCCACGGAATAGGTATACTATGCTAGTTGACAATGACAAATCTTGACAAAGTGAATTCAGAACAAAAGTGACTACACCATGTCGGTATGAATGACCTAAAGTTAAAGCATACTGACAAAGTTAATTCAGAAACATGTGACTACACAATGACAAAAATGTGACTACATGTTAAACATAAAAGACTACATTGCGCACAATTAAAAACTTAAAAGACTACATTGCGCATTTTTAAAAACTTAAAAGTCACATTGCGCATAATTAAAAACTTAACTAATACAAGCGTACACCTACTACAACCAAACATGCTTATAAGCCCTGTAATTTACCCAGTAAGAAATTCTTGTACGACTCTTCTTCAGGAGTGAGTGGCGTAGGCGAATTCTTCATAGCTTGCACCATATCAAACCAGGTTTTCATCTTATGAATGTCAAGTTCCTCCCTTTTTCTCTGTTCCTTCTCCCTTTCAATTTTGATCCGCTCTTCCTTCAGAATGGCCTCCCTCTCGCGAATTGTTGCCAATTCCTTCATTCGTTCGCTAAGCTCAGACGAACCACTGTCCGAAGCTACTTCTTTCCCTTTACGCTTGGCCTTTGCTTTCTTCACACCTTCGGGTCGTTGTATTCCTCCAGATGAAAAACCATCCGTAGGGGTTTCATCCCCTCCATCATCTCTGGACCTCTTCCCACTGCCAGCACTACCTTGCTCCTCAACATCACGAACAGCTTTTCTTTCCTCCTTTGACAAGGACCATCTCAGCTTTGGCCTCCACTTTGGATCTCTATTAAGCATTTCAACAGCGTGAGGAAAAGCGAAATTACGACCTTGGGCGAGATGGAAAAGCTTCGACGCACTTTTTATACGGTCAGCTTCGTTGTAACCACTCCCAAAAATGGTCAGCTTCGTTATACGGTCAACTTTCTTCAATTACATAAAGCAATTACATAACATGCCATACAATATTTTTTTTTTTTTTTCCCAAAAATCACATATATACTAATTTTAATACATAACTACATGTATATATTTTTTTTAAAAAAATAACCAATATTTAAAAAAAAAATTTAAATATTTAAAAAAAATAAATTTACCTCAATATGGATGTTTTGCAACAAATATATTCTTCTACAAATTTAAAATGCTTAAGAAAATAAAAAAGTGGAGGATTTTAGGTGATTACGAAATTATATCAAAACATATCAAAATGCATGTCTATTTATAGAGAATTTAATTTTATGACCGTTGGTAATTTTTTTTTTTTTTTAATAAATATATTTTTCGGAAAATCAGTTACAAATAATATTACCGTTGTAAACGGCTAGTATTTTCTCATTGGTCAATCACCTGCGCACGACACGTGGCGAGCTCTGATTCGCCAGCACGTCTGACGCGCTTTGCCAGCGAATATTTTTTTTTTTTTTTTTTTTAGCGTCAAAACGACGCGTTTTGGAAGGGTCCCTTCAGACCACTCCATCAAAACGCGTCGTTTTGATAAGGGCCCAGCCAAATTTTTTTATTTCCGTCTGACTTGCTGTGGGGCCCACTCCTTCACTGTAGCAACAAGAAAATGCTCACTCTTTGGGCAAATTTCATTTTGCCCATGGGCTTTTTTTGGCTTGATCAATTTTTCTCCCCTTCTACAATGGTGAGCATTTTATTTACCCACCAAATTTGCCCATGAGCAAATAAAATGCTCACCATTGGCATTGCTCTAAGGAGAGGGGTAGTTGAGAAATTAGCTCGTGACTCGATAACCTAAATGTACCAGCCGGCCGTTATGTGAAAGAATTCCAACCCCAATAAACGTCATTTATAACCATGCGAAACTTCTCTTTAAGAGCCCAATTCTTACACAATTCCAGAATTTCTTCGACAGATTTTCTTCCACTAGAGTAAATTCAAGGGAATTCGTAAGTTTCATACGAAAAAAAATCTAGCAAGCAACACCATAATAGTCGGACCAACTGAACCCTCAGAAAATCGCGGAAATTCGAGATTCTGAGGTAATATTTTCTATTTTTAATCTTTGACAATTAATTTTACAATCTATTGTTAATCGTTAGTTTAATTCAATTTAGGGTTCTTCTATGGTCGATTGATTATTGAACTACTCCGTATTGGGTTTATAATGGAGCGGGAGCCCTTGAGTGTGGACGCAATGGCGATATGGAAGAATATGCAGCAACATGAGCAAGAACTTTGGCATAAGAGAAAGTTAGTATTTCTCTCCTACTTCCCTTTTATTATGCTATTTACAGGCCGTTGTAAATTGTGGGAATGGTTATGTATTTGTTTGTAAGTAATTGCGTTATACTTTTGAATTTGCACAATCGCTATGTGAGGGGATGCACAGTGTTTAAAGAGAGGAGAAGGGTAGTGAGAGATGGAGAGAGGGACCGATGTGATGGGGAGAGATTACGACTTTCCTAAAACAGCTACAATCAGAAGAGAACGGAGGAGGTATTAGTTGTTATATGGGACACAGTTGTCTGTCTGGACCTACATTATGTTGGTTTGTTACAAATTTGATGGCGGAGGCGTATGCACTGAGCTCACTGTGCATATGTTAGAACATCATGCGTATTCATACCTAATTTTAAAGAACATGAAGACTATCTCCAATGAACATAGAAAGCTAAAAGTAAGATATGTTATGTTAATTGCCGTTTATGTTCATTGGAGTTAGTCTTTATGATTTTTGAAATTAGACTTGATGTTCGGCGTATGCACAATGGGCACTGTGCATATGCCTCCACCATCTAATTGCTCGCAAAGAATTGATGTGCTAATATGAATCTTGTGGGTTAAGGTGTAAATGTTGCTTCCGTTGTTATAGTGAAGTACCAAGTACTCCCTCAAAGTCAGGCAATTACATGCTTGTAATGATTGCATGTTTTGAAGGGAAAAACTTTGATGATTAGTGTTAGAGCAAGATAAGAAAGAGAGTAAAACTTATTTCAAGGTTTCTGTATGTTGCTATAGCGCACTCACTCACTCACTTTGTTTCTAGAAAGCAGTATTATTTAGATTCTGAAGACAGTATGGGAAATAAAGATTTAGATATTCTGACAATAGGTTTGTAGAGAAATTTTTATCGTTGCCTGGGATAGGAAGTAAGGCTACCATCCTTACTTAGACAGAGGGGTAATTAAAGAATGTTATTTATTGGTATTAGTTAGTTTTCCTGATTTATGCAATGCAATGATCTTTGACCTTCTTATGGCTTGTGCAGGTTCTTAATGGGCTTGTCAGAAATGGACTATAATGATCAGAATGTGAGTTCACATGCTGGAAAACAGTGAGTATGACTATATTGTTTGAACCCTGAAGCTATTTTACTATGATTTTGCCACAATGTACATTGGTATTCTTCATTGATTTATTTTTATTTTATCTATATCTCTGTAATGAAGTGTTATACGGAGTATATCAACACAAGCTTTCTGACTGCCAAGTACCCAAATGGCCAGACCCAAAAAGTCTATTATACCTTGACAACTGTAAAATGTCTGAGGAGTTTGATTGTGCCCAACTGTGAATTAGATGTCTTTGGCTAATTTCTCTCTTCTTTATTTTTTTTCCATATGCAGGTTGGTATTGCCAGAGTCATTTTTGAGGAAAGATGATGTAAGTCTTTTGGCTTCCTCTTGCTTATTTTGTTTATGTGACAAGTCAGATGGTTGTGTATGTTAAACATCTAGACAAGCTTTGTTCATTGCCAGGTTATTTATAAAATTTTATTTTATAATAATAATTATTATTATTATTATTTTTATTACGTGGAAATGGTGGTAGAGTCGATTTCATTGTTAAAGTTTGCTAGCTCTTCAAACTTTATGAAATTGAACTTTGAGTCTTTGACAACAATATGCAGACATATAGTGTACTCCAAATTATTTTAGTATTAAACCATTTGGGTTTTTTTTGGTTGTTGTTGTGGATAGATATATGCTTTGTATGTAGCGATAAGCCAATAACAGGCCCAGCCCTTTAAAATTTAATGAACACATTATGAATTTTTATAATGACTGATATTTGGTTGATTAATCCACCATGAGGCACCAATGGGTGTTTGGTTTGATTGGTTATAGTAGCATTTCTTTTAAATGAGTTTCATTGTTTAACAATTGCAGGTCTTCTATGAAGATGTCAAAATTTTTGTTGAGAGGGGCCGTCTTCAAACATCTGATACTGAAGAGTGGCAGAGTATAATTGATGAGGAGGAATTCTGTGAGGCACACAACATGTCAAGAATTATTTTGACCATGCTTGATGACTTGTCAAACAGTGGGTTGTGCCATCTAGCCAAGATAGTGACAAGAGGTTCAGCTGTTTTTAATAAAACTCGTCCACAAATGGAAAGAGTTATTAAATACAGCTTAGAAGAATTACATAGCAATCGGTTAGATAGCTGTAATCAAGTCCAAATGCAGAATCAGCTATCTCAGTTGCTGAAGAACCCAAAGAATTTTCGCCAGAACCGTAGGAGACACATAAAATTGACTAGGAAGTCTCTTATTAGTACTTTTGAGAAGGTTCAGCTTCAAAATATTCCTGTACGGATCCTGTCTGCAATGTATAGGAGGTTGAAAGGGACAAAAGGGATCATGCCACAATTGCGCCCTCGTTGGTCTGGATGGAACAGAAAAAGTTTGATCAAGCAAATGGAGAAATTGTGGCGTAGGATGATTGATCAACTTGATGAGGCAGATAAGCTACAGGACCCTTTAGTCAAAGCAATGGCAGTTCCTGGTTTATATTCAAGAATCGCATCTGACTATCAAGATTTTTCCATGGTCAAATTTATACATGTGCCGCCAGAAATGGAAGCATTACAGAATGAGATAGTAAAGGCTATTTGTTCTCTTGATAAGAGATACAAGAAAGAAGAATTGAAGAAATTGCAGCTTTTGTTGGACCCTGAATCTAATGTGGACGTTAATGGCCTAAGAAAAGCAATTAGGAACATGTTGATTGACTGTCTCTTTGAATGCAGTGATATGGAAGCAGTTCCAAACTCTTTATTAGATGCTCTGTCTCTTATTAATAAGAAGTCCTGTAATACACGTAGGTTTTCTTCAAAGGTGGTTATTGAGGATGAGGTGGAATGTATATTGAATGTGGGTGCTCATATAAAGCAGCTTTTGTGGAATTGTGCTCCTGTTGATAGACTTGACCAAGATTTTGCGGATGCATACATGGAGGAACTTGAAGAAAGTGACGATGGAGATATTTTTGATGATGATGACCAGCAGCTGCATCCAAATTCATTGGATGAAATTCAGATTAGGTTCAATGACTTCAGTGAAGAGGTTGCTAGTACTGGAGATGCATATCATTGCACTTTTAGTTCAGCAACATCTACATACAAAGATAATTCTGCTTCCAGGTCATGTTTTAAGGCTGAAAGCTTTACTGTTAAAGATGAATGCTGGGATCAGACTGAGATTAATGAAGGTGAAATGCACTCTAATGCTGGTGGTGATGTTGTATCCCCTCTTGTTTCACCTATCTTACATGGGAAAAGTAATATTACGGGCAAAAAGGACCCTCCACATTATGCTTCAGTGGATACTGTGAATCTTGCTGGTAAATGCTCGAAGAAAAATTCAGTGCCTAAAGACCAGAGAAACCGTTATGTAGCCATTCAAGAAGTTTGTGACCAGGCAAGTTTAGTTGCATACCAGCTTATTGGACGTATTTTGGCAGACTTTGGACAGATGGAGGCATTGGGTTTAAGTTGGGAGGATGAAACATATCTTAGAGGCGAGTATACAATGTCAAAAAAAAGTCAAGGTATGTCTCTTACAACATATACAATCCTACAACTAGAAAACTATGAACATATATGCTGTGCTTTCCTGCTACCACAGTCCTTTTTTGTTCAAGTCTCCATATAACTGAGGTTTTTCCCCCAACTCTTCACCAGCTTTTCTGCTTCTTCTCCTTTCAGCAATACCTTTCCTTCCTTTTATCATATTGTTGACATTGGAGCAAGACAACACCTTTGATTGTGGGATGCAAAAGTAGTATTGTTGTCGGAGCACAGACTTAATTTGCTTAAGCATTGATAAATTATGGTGCTGATTGCAGAGTTTAGGGATTGCTTTGTTTTTGTGCATGTGTAAAGCAAAGTCTGTTGAATAATGTATAACCTTGATTACATATTCCTCTTCCAGTTAGAAGTAATGTTGATGGCTAAAGTTTAATATAGGACATGGACTCCTATCACATAGTGCACGGTGAATATTTGAGTGTTAGGAGCTGTCCAGTCTCTACACTTATTTCTGCTGAGAGTGGTGTAGCTAGAAGCTCAGAACCTACTGAATTTGCTTTTGTAGTTGCTCTTTGTGATTGATCAAAATGAAAGTTACGATTGATTATTTGTGAAGGCAGAGTCTTGTATGGGGATTGTTTTTTTTATTGACTGCTAGTTGATTACTGGGCTTATTATCATGATACAAGTTGGTATCAATTTCTGATGTTATAAAACTTTTGCTGTCATTGTATTTCCATGTGATTGTGAGCTTAGTAAATGAAAATGTCTACCATCCTCCTTTTTTATGTGTTAGAGATTTGCAAGTAAAATAATGTACTACTCTGTATTGTTTTATTTACAAATTTCTTTCTTGTTAATGTCTTAATGTTTACATTCACTCTTTTTTTAGTTGACTTGTGCTCTTGTTTTCTAAATCCAGTTGCTGGCTCAAATGATCAAGATGGGAGTAGTTCAATCATTGTTCAAGCAGTTCGTGAAGTCATACCTTCATTCCCAAATAGGTACAGTTCACTTCTGGGGCTTTTACAATGGCTTCTTTATATATCATTCCACAAGAATTTTAGTCATGTATACTATGTTGTATTCTGTAATGTCTGGAAAATGTTCACAATTTTTTTTAAAAAAGAAACAGATTAAATGAAGGCAAACAGGCAACTATAAAGGGTACAAAGTATTTTAGTGACTCTTGGTGAACTTTTAATTTTACTTTCTAATTCTATGCATCTGCCTATTTTTTTGCCTGAATCATCAATGGTGCCTACACAATTTTTGTAGTTGTGTCTGTAGTAGAGTATATATATTTTCAAGATCATTTGCCTTTGTTTGGGGTTTTATTACAGTGGTTTTTGCCCAAATTCCTAAACATGGCCTATAAAATCTAGAAAAACAAGGCTTATGTTTACCTTCCAAAAAAGCCCAATTTATGTAGACTATTATGATGAGCGAGTGGTGCTTTTGTGCTAGCAACGTTCACTTAGGTCTCAGTTATATTATATTATCTGGTTAGTGTGAGTTTGTCATAGCACAGGCACATTTTTTATATAATTATGGTTACATCCTGCTGATTGCCTGCTGATTTTTAATCTTTCAATGGCAGCCAACTGGAGACGGTGAAGAAGTTCATGAGCTCATAGTGGAGGAACTATGAGTCACACTGTACCTAGAAATTAGGATTGCTCAGCTCATAATAAGTCTTCTTACTCTTTCCATGCCTTCAGAGCTGAAGTCCCCCTTCATTTTCTCTTGGTTTTCTCCATCCCTTGAGAGTGAGACTGGGTTGGTCTTGTTCTCTGCACTTCATTTTTACTGAAGTCAAAAATTCATTTTACTGATTAAAGTATTTTCACTGATTAAAACTGATTTTTCTTATTGAAACTATATGATTTTTAAAAGTTCATTAGTGTTTTTAGAATTACAAAGTTACTGATTAGGTGTGAAATGCTAATTTGAAATTGTTTTGTATGAATCAAAATTGATTTGAACTGATAGATTTTTACTGATGTGAAGAGTACAAAGCCTACTTGGGATGGAGTCATAAAGAACGAACGAGGACACACAAACGCAAGTATTATCTAGAGCTATTTTGAAAACATAATGAGTTTTAGAATATGAATAGTTGAGACAATGTGATTATCTATTTAGTATAAGAGTATATAGGTAATGATTTTGGTGAAAGGGGTTAATTTAGCCCTTATATACAGTTACTATATTTTTTTGAAGAAACAGTTACTAATATTTTTTCAACAATGTAGAGCTTCAATGTTGGATATTAAACCAGTATTTCATTGAAATTCCATATTTGCAGGGATGAACAGATTATTTAAATTGTTACATTACATTTGATGGGTTTGTAATTTATACTTGTATAATTTTATTCTTCTTTTTAATAATAGTTTATAGGAAATTGTTTCCCTCCCTCCCCCATTTCTCAATCTTCTTAACATTTCTGTAACCTTAAATGAGTACTCACAATTTCCTCAAATAGTAATAAATGAGAGTATTCAGATATATTTTTCCGCAAAACTGTTACATTACGTTTTGCATTGACAAAGAAATTAGACTATGTTTTATCATAATTAGAAATCATGAAAGTTAGTCAAATTAAATTTTTTGTTCAACATATAATAAAATCTTAAATTGTCCACTAAAAATAGAGAAAGTAGAACATTTGTGATTTTATTTAGCATTGATATATCTTAGGTTTTTTTACTTTTACCACCATAAAAAAAACACGAAATTGTATTTTACCGCCAAAAGTTCTAAAACTTCTATTTTACCAACAAAAAAAAAAGATTAAAATTGTTTTTTACCACATGCCTTCAAAAAAACCGGTAAACCTAACGGAATTTTTTAAATTCTTCGACTTTCATGCTAAAAATATGTTGTTTAGGGGTTTTGGGGGCATTTTAGGCCTTTGAATCCAGTCTAAGGTCAAAATTGACAAAAAATATAGTAAATGACTCGTTTTTCCTACTAAAAAATACCCTGATTTTCGTGAACACGCTAAATGAGGCATTTTTCATCATTTTTTGTCAATTCTGACCTTAAATTGGTACCACAAGGCCAAAAAGCCCAAAATGCCCCCCTAAAGCTCTAAAGAACATCTTTTGCGTACGAAAATCAAATAATTTTTTGAAAAACCGTTTTTTTAGAAATTTTTTTGGTGGTAAAATAAAAGTTTTAGAAGTTTTGGTGGTAAAAAACAATTTCGTTTTTTTTTTTTTTTTTTTTTTTTTGTGGTAAAGGTCAAAAAATCATAAATCTTATGGAGTAATTTATACATGAAGTAACATTTACCATTAACATTAAACAATGTCTCTCCTTAAAAGCTCCACAAACTTTAAGCTCTATGTTTAAGTTTCATATGGGCTAGGCCGAAAGGTGGATCTGTTAGGCATGACATGAAAACGTTCTGGATTGGCATGAACCTGCCAAAGCAGGCTTAGCCCAACCTGATATGAAAGGTATGCTGATAAGTAATGGGTTATAATTTGGCACAAACTTAATACTACTACGACAGGTTGGCCTGCTTCTCAGCTCGTTTATTTTGACTAATCTAACAAAAACTTAAATTTATCAATGAGACCTACTGGCCCGACACAACACAACACGACATAATCATGAATGAACTCCACTTACAACTATTATATATAAGATCAACACGAGCTTGACATGACACGACTATTTCTTGACTCATTTGAATCACAAGCTGTTGAGTATGAAGGACGATGGCTCCGCACATGGGCCAACACAGTACGGCCCGTGCCCATCTTATTCTATACTCGAAGCCTTGGAGGACCTCCACAAAAGAGCCGCCATTTTTCTCTTCCACATCTCTTGATCTCTTCCTCAACAGTCAACAATCACAAAACTGCTCACCGAGTCACAGCCACAATCTCAGAAGCCCCAACATTCCAGAATTCAATTTCTGCTAACTCTTCAGGTATCTCTATATCACTGCCCATTTATAATCTTATGTTTCTGGTATACCAACTGAAATTCATCTGTTAGTAGTATTTCCCCCTCGCCTTATTGACATTCCAGTTGATTGAAATGAAACCCACCAAATATGTAAAAACCCCATTGACAATGGAGTTATCCGATGATTTAATCCATGAAATCTTACTTCGACTGCCCTTAAAATCATTAGGAAGATTCAAATCAGTTTGCAAATTGTGGTTTTCCCTAATTTCAAATCCCGAATTTGCCAAATTACATCTCCAATTTTCAAATCTTATCTCCATAAATAACCCACCATTAATCCTTACATTACAAGATAATAATGTTATATCCTTGTTTAAGTATAAAAGTTGTACTGATATTGCATTGGACCGACAATTTGTTGATGTTTTTGATTGGGGTCGATGTTTTATTGTTGGATCATGTGATGGGATTTTGTGTCTGTACATTAAAAGTAAGGTTAAGTTTGGTGAAGATTTGTTGCATCTTTGGAACCCTGTTACTAACGAAGACAAACAAATTTCATTGTTTGGGGTTAAGGGTTTAACTTACCTTCATGTTGGATCTGCTTGGTTCGGTTATGTACCGTCTTTAAGAGACTATAAGATCATATTAGTGAATACAAGTATTGGGGATAAGCCGGGTTTTGTAAAGCGGATGTATATGTACTCGTTACGTGATCCTAAATGGAGAGAATTGGATGTTACTGATGCAGGATCGTCATTTGCATCAGTTTCCAACTCGGTTCTCTTGAATGAAGCTTTGCATTGTCTTGGTCAGAAATGTATACATAAATTTGATTTGGTTGCGGAAACCTTTGAAAAGGTGCCCTTGTTGATCAAGCCTGATCTTCCGAAACCCCATCAGATTAAGCTTGGTGTCATTGGAGAAAAAAATTGTTTATGTGCTATGTTGGTACATCACTCTGAGGAAGAGAAATGGATGTTCGAGTCGTGGATGTTGGAGGAATATAACAAATGGGATTCTTGGAAAAAGTTGTATAGAATTGACTTGAAGAAGGAGATTGCCAGGAACTACATCGGATTTTTAGGTTTCACATACAATGGCAATTTTTGCATTCGAGAAAAAAATGGACTTAAACTCATTGATCCTTGCGATCCACCTTCATGTGTCATGGTTTGCCGTGGATCAGTATTCGTAGCTATTGATTATGTGGAGAGTCTTGTATCTCCGTTTTCTCTTGATTAAGTTGATCTGAAGTTCAAAATATTCAATCCATTTTAGGAGATCACTTGTGTGTACGGTCTGGAAGGCCAAATCATTTGGAGCAGAACAGAATCTGTAGGAAAAGATTCATCTGGTGAAGCATCTGAATCCACTAGGACAGTCTCAATTAGTTTACTTCAAGTATATACCTCGTCAATCAGACAAGACAGACGATGCTTGGGACTAAATAGAGGAGGTAGTGTCATAAAGAAAGTAATGTATGAAGGAAATACGCCTTCTCTGATTAGATTGTTACATTGTTACAGGACTCCTTATCATACAAAATGCACTATGACAGGGTAGGGAGAAATATCTGAAGATTTTTCTTAAATTCTTCAAATTTGTGTCAATCGTCAATTACTACGGGGTTAGTGCATTGTAGACCAATTTTACTTGTACAATGTCTTCTATTTCTGTAGCTGATAATTTCTACAGAGGTTGAAGTGTTGAATATGATTTGTTATATTTAACAAAGTGCTGCATAATTTTCTGTTTGATTAGTGTCAGTCTGCAATTCAGCTGCTTACAGTAATACTATTTCCTACCTGTTCCAAGTTTACAGCTGAGAAGTACAACACAGAGGCAGCATAACAACTTGCCACTAAAGCTTCGACGTGATTCAGGGTATCATAACACTTTTGAATCAGTTGCCCTGTTTTACAGATTCACAATAACCATATTCATCAAAATGAGTCACCATGCCTGAACCTCGTATGCCTTTGGATGTGATGCCTTTGGAAATCTCACAGCAGTCACGATGCCTGAATCTTGTATCACCTTACTCCTAACTTCTATAGTTCTACTGCAGGTGTTCGAGCTCAGAGAAGTTCAAATGTGAAAAGGCACATCCAATCCTTCAAACAAGAAAGAGGAGCGAGGTTGTTGATGCAAATTATTGAATTCCTAAGTAAACTCGTGACTTAAATCAAATATCCTAATGAAAGCTAAGCGAGATTCTTCTCTTTGGCCTTGGGAAGCATTACCCCACTGAATGTGATATTGACTGAATCTACTAACTGCAAGTCTGCAAGTATAGCTAAATCATTGCCATATTCTATTTTGCCTTGTCACAAGACCTAGAGGCACGAGAACAAGAGAGCAACATGCCAATGTCATACTGCTGCTCATCTATGAATTCTTACACTAATATGTTTAGTTGTACTAATACAATAATAGTGAATATAGTAGCTTGAATTCATACCTCATACATGCACGGAGATTAATCACCCATAAGAAGTAAAAACACATCTAATGAAAAAAGGGTGATACCTCATACATGCACGGAGATTCATCAATAATTGTTCTCACGTAAATAATATATTCATGAAAATATGTAATGGTTTATTATATGAATTTACTATAAATTGAGTGAGGGATAGCTGCTCAAGTGGTTAAAACTTTCTTCCCAGTTTCCATAAGATCTTAAGATTGATTCTCATCCCCGCTTTTGTGGCTCTCTAAGCACCAAAAAAAAAAAAAAACATAAAAAATTACTCCATATTAATTTTATTGTCAATTGACTTTTTGTATAAAAGAAATCATTTTCAGCAGTATTTGATTTCAAATGGTTTGAGTCGGATAGAGTTTATGAATAAAATTTTCGGCTCAAGCGCATTAATGTAAATAAAATTTGATTTCAATTACTTTCGGCTCAAGCGCATTAATGTAAATAAAATTTGATTTCAATTACTTTCGGCTCAAGCGCATTAATGTAAATAAAATTTGATTTCAATTACTTTTCATCCCTCTCCACCCTAATTACTCCAAGCTGTCTGATCTCTAATTTCAAGTCAGTCAACAACTACATACTAACATACAAGTATACATATACACCGTACTCCATTTTTGTTCCAACTTTTGTGCTTCTCACTAGATTTCCCTGCGCTTTCAAATCACTAAAACCAGCTCAGAAATCGTCGAAATCTCAGGTATATTACCGATTTATCGTCGCATTTGCATAATTTGAGGTTTGAATCAATGAATTTCGTTATTTATTTTTTTATTTTTTTTATTTCATTTAATGGGGTATTGGTAATGGGTATTGAAATGGGATTTTTACGATCTTGTTCATGCTTGTACCCAAACTAGCAATATGTTTTAATTTCTGGCCTTTTTTTATTGTAATTTTTATGGGTTATTGTGCAAATGATTAATCTGCTGGGATTGCACTTTCAATTGCTGTTGTAAATTTAATGTTGTTAAATTGATTGAAGTTTGGTTTTGTTTTGATGGATGTTGAAATTTCCAGCTTACTTTAATTAGGGTTTTGATTTTCTTCTTTTTGTAGAACTAATCTTGTTCATGTTTGTACCCAAGCTGTGATTTTTACATTCAATTGAGGTTCTTTGAACTTGCTTTAGAGTTTAGGCAAAGAGAATGAGGTTATACTGATAGTAGACGCATCTTCAATCTTATAGATCATCACTAGCAAATTGCTTTGCAAGATTGTCCTTTTAACGCTGCAATTTTTCAATTGCCTTATTGAATTTCTATTTGGTGGTATGAAGTTCAAGGGAAGGGGGGAAACACAGGAAATAGACAAATGTGGTGGTTTGGTTTGGGCCGGGGAGGAAGGACAGAGAGGTAAGCGAATGATGGCAAAGTTGTGTTGAAAGTAAGGCTTCCAACATTTAAAAAAATATTAGGGTGTGAAATATCAAAGTCCTTGAAATTTTTTGTGGTAGAACATATTGCAGCTCTTTGATGATTGCAATAGATTCATTGTGTTTCTTTATCATGTGGATTGGTAGGTATTTAAAACGAGAATCTCATTTATAGGATGAGGAAAAAGTCAGTGGAAAATTATTTTTGAACTTAATTTGGCTCTAAATAGTAGTGATTTATATAAATCAGCTAACTGGATGAAATCTGATCATCCTTTTTTATTAAGGTACAAAGTTATTTTCTTTTTTTCCCCCTTGTTCTATCAGATGTACATTATGTAAAAATGGGCTTTTGAAGATGATTCGATTGACCTTCAATATTTCCAACAGAAAGAAGAGTGAATGCCGGAATGGGTTAGAGGTGGGTTGCGGTAAAAATAGGGGACTAGGGGAGGCAGCTTTCAGGCCATGGTGGGAGAGTGGGGGCTTGTGAAGAGAAAGGGAAAAGCGTACTTTTATAGGGAATGTAGGATCAGTACTAATTGAAAGTATGCAGTATAAAATCTTTCAAATGAATATATACTTAGATTATGTATGTTTTTGTCAAGATAGATTAACATTTGACAATTTGTTAATTTGTAGACAATCTAAAATATACATATAATGATTGCATGCTTTTTGCTTGCTAGGTACTGTTGTACATTCTGAAAAAATGGTGCACCAACGACAGAAAGACCTTTGACATGACAGCTAAGCCACTTTTTAGCTGTTCTGTTTTATTCTCCTGAAGATCACTTATAAATCACAAAGATGGCAGACAGCCACCATCATCATCACCGGCCACACCGCCTATCAGTCCCGTCACGTCCTGGTGTGCTCACAGGCGTGCGCAACCCTACTCCCTATCCTTTAACCCCGACTCCCACTCCATCTAAAACCCGACTGTCTCAATCTACCAGTGGCATCAGCAACAAATCTTCAATCTCATCCCTATTCCTGGTCCTTTTCTCCCTACGATCTCTCTACCCTCTCCTTCCTTTCCTCCGTTCATCCCCATCCTTCTCTCTATTCCCATTTTCCTTCCTTGTCTCTCTGCTCTCCTTCCTCCTCACTCTCATCTTCTCCCTCTACTCCAAACACCCTCGCATTCCTCTTTTTTCTCTCTCCTCCCTTTCCCAATCCCAAGTTAGGCATCTTCTCTTCAAGTCCCTTATCTTGGCTATTGTCTTCCTCCTCCGATTCCAAGCCCTCCGTTATTGCGGGACTGCAGCCCTGATATTGGCTGAATTGTCTGGAAATATTGCCTTCCGATTCTGGAAGGTTCAGGACTGGGATCGAGATAGAAACTCAAGGGTTTGTGGATTCTTTGCCTTATTTACTGGTCTATTCCTTTTATCTGTCAGTTGGGATCGCATGGATTGTTTCCCTCTTTCTTATAGTAACCTTGATAAGATTCGAAGTTCATTTATGGTGGTTGTTGGTGGTAATTGTCTGAGAATTGTGCCTATGCTACTCCCGTTCTTATCTGGGTTTTTGGGGTGTTATGAGAGGGATTTGATGAACCGGGGGACTATTAGGCAGTTGGGTCGAAAGCGGGTTCAATTGATTTCGTTGTTCTTCACCACTTCGATGCTTTTTTTTCCTGCCATCATTAATATGCTTGTTTTTGAAGCAGAGGGTGGAAGTGTTTCCGTTGTGAATCTGGGTTGGTTGTTGGCAAACACAGTTTTATTTGGTGTCCTCTTGAATGAGTGGAATAATGATGAGAAGTGGGTGAATCCTAGAGAGTCTGAAAAGGAATTTTTCATCACCTTTGTGAGTACACTTGTTTTGGAGCTTGTTTACTTTCCAGAGCTCTCACTTTGGGGATTGTTGATCTGTGGATCATTGCTTTGGGTAGCCATTCAGCAGTTGAACTGGAACCATGCTAGATATGTGGAATTGGGGGCTGAATCTTCAGAAACATTCTCTTCAATGGTAATGAGGCCAATTCGCCACGTATTGAGTGAACGTAAATCTCGTAAAATTGCACTTTTCCTTATGATCAACACTGGCTATATGGTGGTAGAATTTGTTGCTGGTTTTATGAGCAATAGTCTTGGATTGATATCTGATGCTTGTCATATGCTGTTTGATTGTGCTGCACTGGCTATTGGGCTTTATGCTAGTTATATCTCTCGTTTGCCAGCCAATAGCCAGTTTAACTATGGCCGTGGTAGGTTTGAGGTGCTTTCAGGGTATGTTAATGCAGTTCTTTTGGTTTTGGTTGGAGCTCTCATAGTGTTGGAATCATTGGAAAGAATTCTGGATCCTCAAGAGATTTCAACTAATAGTTTACTGGTTGTTTCTGTTGGAGGGCTACTAGTAAATGTTGTGGGTTTAATCTTCTTTCACGAGGAGCATCATCATGCCCATGGAGGGTCTTGCTCTCATTCACACTCCCACTCCCACTCCCACTCTCATACGAGTCACACCCACCTTGACCATGACCATGTTACTGAGGTTAAGCATCAGCATGACCATGTTCACTCTCATGAGGACCATGATCACAGTCATAGTCATGGCCTCCATATTCACTCTCATGGACACAATGATCACACTCATTGTCATGGTCATGCACACCACGATCATGATCATCATGAACACCATGACCATGATCACAGTCATGCAGACCATGATCATGATCATAGTCATGCACACCACGACCACGACCACGACCACAGTCATAGTCATGACCATGATCACTCTTGTGGACACCATGATCAACATCATGAACAGGGTCTTCATATTCACCCTCATCACGATGATAATGATGTATGCAAGAGCATCGCCAAGCTTCCTGGAGCGGACTCATGCAGTCATAGTCATCATCTAGACTCAAAGACTGAATCCTCCCGAAATAAGATGCACCATCACCAACATATTGACCACAACATGGAAGGCATCTTCTTACATGTTCTGGCAGACACTCTGGGGAGTGTTGGAGTTGTGATCTCAACCCTGTTAATCAAATACAAGGGATGGCTTGTTGCAGACCCAGCTTGCTCCATATTCATATCCGTCTTAATCGTATCATCTGTAATACCATTATTGAGGAACTCTGCTGAAATTTTGTTGCAGAGGGTCCCTCGAGCTCATGAACAGGATCTTAGAGCTGCTGTAAATGATGTTATGAAGATTAAAGGGGTTTCAGGGATCCAGAACCTGCATGTCTGGAGCTTGACAAACACAGATGTCATTGGCACTTTACATCTTCGCGTTTCATCAGAAATTGACAAAGCTGCAACCAAATCTCATGTCATGCACACACTTCAGGATGCTGGGGTTAAGGATCTGACGCTTCAGGTAGAAAGTCTCAAGAGTTTGTAGTTGTTATCTGTAAATAGAATAGATATAGACTAGCACATTGGTTATATCTTTGATTCGATCGTACTTTGTTATATTTATAGCAAATTTTGATACAAATGAGATAGTTAACTATGGATATAAGTTTTCGTTGCTGTTTTTACGTAAATTGACTGTAGTATTTGGAAAACTCAGGTCAAAGTGTCAAATCTATACTCCAACTTGGATTCTTGTCATTTTTGGTTCAAAGTGTTTCACTCTATAAAGGTATTGTATGGGCTTGATTGTAGCCCAGAAAACGAGCACTCAATCTTTGCTGGAAGTCTGGAACTGAATATACTTCTAGGGCAAAGATTTGAAGTGGTCTGTAGCTCAATGATTACTCAATAATAATGGCTGGCTGGATTGTTGCATGTATATTTTTCTTTAACTTAATTTATCAAGCTTAGCTTAGCTCAATTTAGCGAAGTTGGATGTACCTTAGGATGTTAAAATTTGGCATTGATTGAATGCATATGGAGTAGATTTCAATAGATTATAAATACTACACATATGCACCTTTTTTTTTAGGAAAATATAATAATACAATATGCAATTTTACAAAATAAATATATGAAAATAAAATAAACCTTAATATCTATGTAATTGTGAATTTGTGATAGCTCCGTTTGATGTGACTTAAGCTAGTAATTGATGTTGCACTTTGGAATACCCAATCCACACCTAGAGTGATTAGGCCTTGTTCGGCAAAATAAGCAATGACAATCTAGTCATTAACTTTTAGTTGATGAACCGGTTACAAAGTAGCTATTGGTCTAGGCAAGAGACATATAGTTCAAAAGGTAATTATAATTTGACAAATGGACATCTATTTTTCAATTACTAATAGTCTAATACTATATACTCATATTAATGCACGAAATGAAAAAAAAAAAATGTACGGAGAATATATGTTCGATAGTTATTGGAGAAATGTTGGATTTTGGGTAGTTATATATATATATGTATATATATATTTTAATTTTCTTAAAAATGAGATATAATATATGAGGATTGAATTTTGGATGTTTAAATGTTTGCAACCCTAACACAATAACACTACTACCATAACCGTCGTACAACCGAACACTTCTATTTTATTTTTCAATTAGGGTTTTGAGTTTTTGACCTACTTAAAACTGTTACCTTGTCGAGCACTCTTTTTTTCTTTTTTGAAGAAACCTTGCCGAGCACTCCTATTTTTTTTCAATTATAGTAATAACCTCTATAAAATCGTCATACAACCAAACACTCTAATTTTATCAATTAGAGTTTTGACCCATTAAAAACGATAACTGCCACCTAACACGACTTAAACAATACCGCTATAAAAGAATCATAATAATTAGATGTCAACTATCGTACTTGTTTAGAGGTTTCCGAAATCAAATTCTCTCTTTTTCTTGATTAATTACTCGTATTACTAAGAGCAAAGAGCATCCCTTGGTATAATTATATAAAGGCATGTTGAGAAAAAAAGGTCGGTTTTTTTCTCATATTTCAGCGCCTCCTGTAGAAACTACAATTAACTCCTTAATATTTTCCTGATTCGCTCTCTTCAGCAGCCATTGTTGCAAACCTCAATTTCACAAACCTAATTTCGGCGTTTTACACGATTGTAAAAATCGAAGGGTGAAAGCAAAATCAGAGAGAAATTTCGCAATTTAGGGCACACTTTTGGAAATTTTTTTAATCGTAAGTTTTTACTTATTTGAATTCGCAAGTTTTAGATTGCGTAGTAGTAGATTTTACATTGTCGTTTCTGTGATTCTTGATTAATCATTTGAATTTTAGTTTGTGTTTTGATTTTGCTGTTAATTTAATTTTTTTATTTTGGATTGTTATATTTGTGGATTAGAATCAATTTAAGGGGTTTTGTTTGATTATGATTTGATTTCAAGGGTTTATATGAATTTGTGCAGAGTTGTGTAAATCGGGAGGATTATAAATGGGAAAAAAAAAGAATATAGTGATAGATGACGATGAGTATTCACTTGGGACTGAGATGTCTGAGGAGTCCCAGGTTACGGAGGAGAAGGTAGTTCCTACTGCTGGTGGGAAGAAGAAGAAGGGAAAGAAGGGAAATTCTAAGGGGGCACAGGGGAGAGTTGAGGAAGACGAGGAGGTTCCGGAAGTAGTGTTTGTTGGGAAGAAGAAGTCGTCGAAGAAAGGTGGTGGTAAGGTGAGTTTTGAGTTGTTAGGGAATGAGGATAATGATGATCAGGGGAAAGATGAGAGTGATGATGAGGATGTATCTATAGTGAGCTTTGCGGGAAAGAAAAAGTCGTCGAAGGGTTCAAAGAAGGGTGGTGGTATGGCTAGTTTTGAGCTATTAGGGGATGAGAATGGTGATGATGATGATGGTGTGGGGAAGAGTCAGAGTGAGGAGGAGGAGGATGTACCTGCTGTGAGCTTTACAGGGAAGAAGAAGCCATCAAAAGGTAAGAAAGGTGGTTTGAAGACAAGTTTTGCAATGTTGGATGATGAGGAGAATGATAAAGATGAGAGTGTTTTAGGTGAAGAGGATGAAGCTCTGGCAGTGAGCTTTGTTGGGAAGAAGAAATCATCTAAAAGTTCAAAGAAGGGTGGGAGTTTGTTCAGTGCTGCGTTGTTGGAAGAAGATGGTGAAGAGGATGGAGTAATTGACGATGAAGCTGACATTGTTGCATTTACTGGTAAAAAGAAGTCATCCAAAAAGAAAGGTAGCAATGCATTGGCTGCTTTAGGAGATGATACCTCCACTAATAATAATGCAGAAGTGGATGACTCTGTGTCTCAAGAAAAGGTCAGTGTGGCAATGCCTGAAACTTCAAAGAATAAGAAGAAGAAAAAAAAGGGTGGAAGGACAACTGAAGAACAGGACGATTTGGATAAGATTTTGGCAGAGCTAGGTGAAGGGCCTGCGGTTTCAAAGCCAGAGCCATCCCCAGCTCCAGTGCAACCATCTCAAGCTGAGAAAGTTGATACACAATTGGAACCTGTTGAGTTGACTGAGGCAACAGGTGAAAAAGAGGGTGAAGATGAAGGAATCGCAGAGTTATCAGCGGCAGCAAAGAAGAAGAAAAAGAAGAAAGAGAAGGAGAAGGAGAAAAAAGCAGCAGCTGCTGCTGAGCAAGAGAAAGAAACAAAAAGTAAAGCAGTGGACAAGAAAGTTCCCAGTTATCTCAAAGGAATGCGAGAGCAACTAGCTAGGCGTCAGGAGGCCGAAGAAAGGCAAAAGAAAGAAGAGGAGGAAAGGTTAAGGAAGGAAGAAGAGGAGCGCCTCAAGCAAGAGGAGCTTTTAAGGCAGGCTGAGGAAGCCAAACTCAGGAAAAAGGAGAAGGATAAGGAAAAGCTTCGGTTGAAGAAGGAGGCTGGTCTGCTGCTTACTGCGAAGCAAAAGGAAGAACAACGTCGGAGAGAAGCAATGAGAAGTCAATTTCTTGCATCTGCTGGAATCAAGCTACCTGCCTCTGACAATGGCGCTCCAACAAAGCGCCCTATATACACAACAAAGAAGTCAAAGTCAAACCGACAAACTAATGGTTCGAAGACTCAAACTATTGATGATACAGAGATTACACAGGAAGCTGTTGGCGATAGCGAATCTGTTGAAACAGAGAAGCTGGATGAGGTTTGCACAATGGATGAAGAGGAGAAGGCTGAAGTTGCTAATGATATAGAAGCAAATGTTGTGGCTGAAGAGGAAGAAGAAGATGATGATGAGGACTGGGATGCGAAAAGTTGGGATGACAATAACCTTTCTTTACCTGTTAAGGGGGCATTTGAAGATGAGGAAGCTGATTCAGGAGCTCAGTCAGTAGTCAAAAAGGAAGTTAAACAGGTCGCCCAATCTGTTTGTGATACTTCTAAACCTGCTGCAGCAGCTAATGAGGCTATATCATCTCAGCCAACTAAAGGCCAGACTGCTCACATTAAGCAGAAACATACTGACTCTGCAGGAAAGAAATCAAGTTCAGATATTCAGGCTAATAACAGTGAAGGAAATCTTAGGTCTCCAATATGCTGTATAATGGGTCATGTTGACACTGGTAAAACCAAGTTGCTTGATTGTATCAGACATACTAATGTTCAGGAAGGTGAAGCTGGTGGTATTACACAACAAATTGGAGCAACATACTTCCCTGCTGAAAACATTCGAGAAAGGACCAGGGAATTGAAGGCTGATGCAAAGCTGAACGTCCCAGGTCTTCTTGTTATTGACACCCCAGGGCATGAATCTTTCACCAACTTGCGATCACGGGGTTCTGGGCTGTGTGATATTGCTATCTTGGTTGTGGACATCATGCATGGCTTGGAACCGCAGACAATTGAGTCACTTAACCTTTTGAGGATGAGAAATACTGAGTTTATTGTGGCCTTGAACAAGGTGAGCTGATTTACACAGTCCTTTTTTTCATAGACACTCGCATTTTCTTTTTCTATTTAACTAAGATTGTTTGCTTTCTCTTCCAATTTGCAGGTGGACCGGCTTTATGGGTGGAAAACATTGCGCAATGCACCAATTGTGAAGGCTCTGAAACAGCAATCCAAGGATGTGCAAAATGAGTTTAATATGAGGGTCACATCGGTAATCAAACTTCTATAAATTTCGCTGATATATTGCTAAATTCTTTTTGTTGTGACTGCTTTTCTGCGGATACTCTGCAGGTAATTACCCAGTTTAAGGAACAGGGTTTAAATACTGAATTGTACTATAAAAACAAAGATATGGGTGAAACATTCAACATTGTTCCAACCAGCGCAATAAGGTTGGATGTGTTTTTGATTTAACTTCATGCTGTTCCACAATCATGGGCTATTTCTGAGAAATAATAATACTAACATGCCAATTTTCCTTTAAAATTACTATTGTGATGGTCTTCTTTTGGATGCATAACAGTGGGGAAGGTGTTCCTGATTTGCTATTGCTATTAGTACAGTGGTCACAAAAGACTATGATTGAGAAGCTTACCTTCAAAAATGAACTTGAGGTATTGTTTTTGGTTTATATATGTTGAGGTTTTGTTTTTGGATATATATATAGAGTTGACTTGGACATTGAGTTGAATTGTTGAGCATGAAATTTTGCAGTGTACTGTACTGGAGGTTAAGGTCGTTGAAGGTCACGGAACAACCATTGATGTTGTATTGGTCAATGGTGTTCTTCATGAAGGGGACCAAATTGTTGTTTGTGGCATGCAGGTAGGCTGTTGTTGCATTCGATTTGAGCTCACATCCTTGTAATGCTCGCAACGATTATATGTGACTTTTGCCTGTTTGTTCATTGCAGGGCCCTATTGTTACCACCATCCGTGCTCTGCTGACACCTCATCCAATGAAGGAGCTTAGAGTCAAGGTATGTCTTATTTTTGTCAGATTTACCATTTATCGAATGTTGCTCTAATAGTGAATTAGAAGGGAAAGAAAATGCATTGACTGTGGTTTAGGTGGTCTTTCAGTGTCAAACATTTGAGATTTTTTTCCATTGAAAATTAAAAGTATCGAATTCCTCACATACGTTGCTCTGAGCCCTTCTACACACCTTAAAAAGCAGGACCATTTTAGAGACGTCCTACTTTTTAAGGTGGGTTTTTGTTTGTGCTATGGCGCTAATTGAGCCACTGTTGTGCTAGCATAGGCTTGGAGAGCTTATGATACATTGATACTCATAAGCACTTTTAGGATGTGGATTTTTCTTATGAAAGTTGGAATTGAGCTAAAATCCATGTTTATATAGTATAAAAATAATTGCGGTTGCTAGTGATTGGTATTGTGAAGTTAGGATGTGGTTTCTTGCAAGTGTTACAGTAGTCTTCTAGGCCTTAATTATCTGTTGAGAGTAGGTTTAAAAAGTTTCTGGTTTAATTTTTCTTATCTGTTGGCAAAAAATGGACTTTTCATTGGACACCCATTTGCTCATCTTGGGTTACATAACAGAGATTATTTATGTCTACAACTAATATTGCGGCATGATTTAACATCTGTCACAGAATAGCAAATTTTAGACCGTCGCAGAAAAACTTTAATGTGATTGATGACTCTTTATACAATGACTATTGTAACTTCGATATTTTCCTGGAACCCAACAATAAGGTAAAAATTAATTTCTAACTAGGAGATGAAGGCTACAACTACAGAGATTCATGTAGGGTTGTTCAAATTCAATATCAGCTAGGTAACTCTGTCATAAATCTAAATCTAGTAGATTAAAATAATGGTGTAGGCCATGTAGCCCACTCTCTCTTCCTTTCCCAGGATACTGATTGGAAATATATGTTTAATTGTCCATGGTGATTGATAATGGATGCCCTTCCAGTTTTGCAATTTGTATCAATGAGACAAGGGCAACTAAATGCCCCCTTCTGTTTGGATCCTACAGCATATGGTTTCCAGCTTTCTGTTTTCTTTTTTGATAGTTGGATGAGTTATTTTCTCAATCCCTCTGCTGCTTGTATGACACAGGGAACATATCTGCATCATAAACAAATCAAGGCGGCACAGGGGATTAAAATTTCTGCACAGGTGATTTTTGTTAGTTTTTTGGAATTGAAACGCATTTTGAATTGCTTCAAGGCATAAGCTACATTGTGAATGTCATTAGCATGTCAAATTATGAACTTTTTATTTGATACTCCTCCACACAGGGTCTTGAGCATGCTATTGCTGGGACTGGCTTGTATGTTGTGGGACCTGATGATGACCTTGAGGAGATAAAAAGATCAGCCATGGAAGACATGGAGTCTGTATTGAACCGGATAGAGAAGACTGGAGAGGGGGTCTGTGTGCAAGCATCTACCCTCGGATCATTGGAAGCATTGTTGGAATTTTTGAAATCACCAGCTGTAAACATTCCTGTTAGTGGCATAAGTATAGGCCCTGTGCACAAGAAGGATGTTATGAGGGCAAGTGTCATGCTTGAGAAGAAGAAAGAGTATGCGACAATTTTGGCATTTGATGTCAAGGTCACAACCGAGGTAGAGGAATTTGCAGAAGATACTGGTGTTAAGATCTTTAAGGCTGATATCATATATCATTTGTTTGATCAATTCAAAGCGTACATTGATGGTATCAAGGAGGAGAAGAAAAAGGAAGCTGCTGAGGAGGCAGTCTTTCCTTGTGTACTCAAGATTATGCGTGATTGCGTATTCAACAAAAAGGATCCTATTGTCTTGGGGGTGGATGTTATTGAAGGGGTTCTAAAGGTACGTTTTATTGTCGATTTCTCTAAGAAAAATAGGAAGAAAAAACACATATTTCCGGTATTTCTAGTTTTGTCATTTTATTTTGTGTTGAGCTAAGGTCATCGTACATGTTTTATTTTTAGTGTAAAGCGATATTGGTGCATTCTGCAGTGTAGGTTTCAATAAGACTTTTCAGAAGCTCAGAATATTGGACATGCAAAAGCAAAATTTATTGCTCTTTTTTGAATAAATTGAAGAATAAAGCACGTACTTCTGGGTTTTCTGATTTTGTCATTTGATATTGTGTCAAGCTAAGGTCATTGAACACGTTGTATTTAGAGTGTTGAGCATTTTTTGTGAATTCAGTAGTCAGGTTTCTGTAGGATTTATTAGAATCTTCATTATAAAGCTATGTTTCTTGGTAAAACTGCCTTCGTTTGGGTCTTGATACCTAAGCTTTTTACACTATGAATTTTGATTTGTCCTTTTTAAGTTGGGATCCTGCTGGTAGGATACTTTTTTTTTTCCTTCTATATGTGCTGCTGCTTGAATTATATTGCTCTTCAGAGATATGATTAGTTTCTTGTGATCACTGTTCCCAGTTGTGGCTGCTAAATAAATTTATAACTGTGAATTAAGGTGTGATTTTACTTTCTTTAGTTCTTTGATTACTATTGAAAGAGGTTTTAAAATTGATGTAAGAGGTAAATCCTCCCCCTAGAGCATTAGTTGTAGATCATTGTCGAATTTTGTTCAAAAACTTTGCATAACTTGAGCCTGAACAGCCTGTCTTTTATTTATCCTCACACGTGTCAATTAGGAGTTGTTTTTTTTTTCCTTACTGTTTTGTAGACTTATTGTCTTGGTTAATTATATCAAATACAGTGTCACATCATGATGTGAATTATGAATCTCATCTTTGTAGCTTTATTGGACTTATCTTAGGTGTTTTGGGCCTATAAGTAGGTTCCAAACTTTGGCTATTTTAGCTTATTAACAAATTTTTCATCATGGTATTATTTTTTAAAAGGTTAATATAGTTTCTTGACTTCATTTTCATCTTGGAGTAGCGAACAAGGCAATGCTAGATCTAAATAAGTAAATATAAGCCTAGGGCTGTATATTGAAGGGAGAATGATTTTGTCATTATTATTGAGTTGAGCTTATAATTTTTTTACGCTTGGGTTGGGATAATTAATATCATCTTTGTAATTGTTACTCAATTCATTTTATTCATAAAAATACGCATCATGCCAAGTAGGTTTTTGTCTTCTAGTTGTTTTAATCTTTTATCAGGCTCTTGTACTGATTGTGGGTTTGGATTGCAGATGGGAACACCAATCTGTGTTCCTTCAAAGGACTTTATAGACATTGGGCGTATTGCTTCCATTGAAATTAATAAAAAACCAATTGAGTCAGCGAAGAAAGGCCAACAAGTTGCCATTAAGGTCTGTTTTTGTTTTCCCTTTAGCCTTTACTGTTTATTTATTTACTACATTTTTTTTCTTTTTTTTTCGGGGGGTGGGGGCGGTGGGGGTACAGAGGATTTGTCTAGTTATCTAGTAGTGATTCTTGTGGAGGTAGGTTTTATTTTTCTGGTTGACTCATTGAGAGGCGTAGAAGTTTGGATTCTTGGAAAGAAAAAAGCAGGATGTTTGAGAGGACAGAATAACAATTGTTAGCATGAGAACTGTGCTCCAGCAATGGTTTTGGCTAACGATGATTGAAAAAACAATGGTATAAGGAATGCCAGAGGAGGTGGAACCTAAGTAAAGGGTAGTTGTTTTATGTTCTGGTTTCTTAAGATTATATGCTTTGTGATTTACAGATTGTGGGTACCAACCCTGAAGAGCAGCAAAAGATGTTTGGAAGACACTTTGATATCGAAGATGAGCTTGTTAGCCATATTTCCAGAAAATCTATTGATGTGCTCAAAGCTAATTACAAGGTGAGTAAATAATTTGTTACACATTCATCAGTACCAACATGCATGCTGATGCTAACTGAAATTATCCTTTCCAGAAAGATGAGTCTATGCCTAATGAGAATTGGAGGTTGCTTGTTAAATTGAAGAATCTGTTTAAGATACAGTAAGCTTCCATTGCTGCTCCTGTACTATTCCGACATTTTTGTGTAGATAAGCGAGTCTTACATGGAGCTGAAGTTTCAACTTGAAGTACAAAGTTGGTTGTTGGATACCAACTCAGGTTCTCTTCTTGGCTGGTTCTCTTCCCATTTTTATTAATGGCTGGAGATATGCTCGCTGTCATCGGAGTTTTGTCACCCTTCAATTTACTACATCGAAAGCTAATGGAGCTAGATGCTGGGAACTGATTGGCGTCCTTTTTGGCGTCGAGACAGAATGAGATAACTCTGATCAATACCTCAGGCATTTGCCTTGTATTTTTTTAATCTTTTGCAGTTTTCTGGATAGAGAGGGAAGGGGGGGTTGCGTTTATGAGTGATTTACATATTATGATATTTGCTGTTCGATGTTTTTGAATAACTATTTGCTTTAGAATAAAAGATTACTTTCACGAAGAATCTTAGGTTGTTTTCTTGGCTAAACATTATCCACCAGTCCCTGCTGCAATGGTACGATAATTACAGCACTAATTTTAAAGGAAAAGTTTTAGGAATTAATACCAACAATTTTTTTCTATAAACAAGACAAAATGGCTCAGCCCAACTAGCCCATTGTTCTTATCGCCTGTTCAGGAGCCTAGACAATAGGTCTTAGCTGCACCAGCTAAGGCCCTATAAAATGAACATTAGTGTGTAGCTAAGAATGTGCGGAGCCTGCCTTAAACAAGTTCCGCAAACATGGAATTCCAATCTTTTTTGTTGTTGCTTGGATTAGGTTTCAAAAGAGCAGGGTGACAACATAGAAGCAACTGTCATGGTTTTCCCTGTCCCTGGTGAGCCTCAAATCAGCTTCATATGTTGTTCTGTTATGATTAAGTCTGTATTCTGTTCAAAACAATATTTTCCTGACATTTATGTAATCCAAATGAGCCAACGACGTCAAACACATTCCTCCCTTCGACACTGAAGTGCGCTTTGTAGATGCAAAGTATATCACCATCAACTTGGTAATTTGAACACACTAAAAAAAAAAAAAAAAGCAAACATATCAATGAGGAGAATTCAGGGTTTTAAAAGAATGACAGAGATAAGTCCATACTTGTATGTATGAGAAAGCCAAGGAATATTATTGTTGTTTCATTATATGATTAAAAAATAAAAGGTTTACAATAAGGTACTGGTTCAAAAGCAATGCACCATTTCTAGAGCAGTAGGGGGAAAACAAATTTGCTTATGAAACTAAATAATCTTGTACAGATACATTTAGATTCCGTTGATACTGCTGTATTATTTCAGCTTGTAACAGATCTACAGTATTTTCAGTTGTGAAGTTTTGACAGCACAAATAAAATCATGGTTGAGCTATGGCAGAACTCTTTTCTAGGAAGTTTCTAATTTAATAATGTTTGGCTTCCACCATCCTCAAATCTCCCCCAAGATGCGCGATCCACCATCATCACATCGCTGCACTTGGCTGCTAGGTAAACCAGGTCTTCAACTAGGTAAAGGATTGAAGTTTAGGCTCAATCATGAAACCTTTGATCGCGAATCCAACTTCTTTTGTGTGGCATCGGCAATGCAATGAAAATTCTGCCTCTCCAATAGAGCCTTTAGGGTGTGTCTTGAACTCGCCTATAGGGACTTTAAACCATTTATTTCTTGGTTTGTCATTCAAGTTTTGCTCGTGCTCCTGAAATTTAACATTAGGAAGGAATAGTAGAGAACGGACAGAGATCTTCTCTTTGTCATTCAAGTTTTGCTTGTGCTTTTGAAATTTGACATCAGGAAGTAGTAGAGAACGGGCAACCACCTTTTCTAGCATGGCCACATAAGTGAATGTATATGTTACATTTGGAGATAGATCATCGATTCCGATTATTCCACGCACATGAAGCTCAGATTCTGAAGATTTTAGTTTCACCACTTTGATTAATGCACCATCTCTGCAGCATAAGAACAACAGAAGTGAAACTTTAATTAGATATCAACCTTGCAATGACTATCATTCAAACATGTAGAACACATTTTCCTTCCTTGATAGATACCTGTCTTTAGTTTCAGTACATTCGCAATTATCTATTATATCATCCCACTCTGGCAAACCATCACAATCCACGTTTGTTGTTAAGGCGAGGCCTGCCACATACACCATGAAGCAATTATATGGGCAGTCCCCTTGCTTCACAATCCAGAACTTCTGTTTTTCAATCAATAACAGGAACTGAATTAACAAAACATACAACATCGAAGCCTTAATCCCATTGATGGGTTCGGCTACATGAAGATGAAATTTAAAAATTTTAGCTATTATTTTAGAGGGGAACAAATAGAAAATTTAGGAGCTGAAGAGTCTGAAGCCTGTCTAGTATTCAGAATGGTTGAAGAACTTGCCTTCATTTTGTTTTTCAGAAAGATCCCAGCAGTGAGCTGCTCATAGATCTTGTGAATGGAAGACATGTCAACTTGAGTGTCAGACTGCTCAATGATGGCTTCAACATTATGAGGCAGCCTAAGCCTTTGCTGCGACCATCCATACATCCTAGCTTGTTCGCCAAATTGTTTGGGCAGTCCAAAAAATTCAAGTTGTTGGAGGGTGGTGACATACACCAAACCTTGAGGAAACTGTTGTAGCATCTGACATTTTAAGATCTCAAGCTTCTTAAGCCTAGGCATCGCCCCCTTCTCTATCTCCCACGTGTCCAAGTTCTGAAGGTCTCCAAGGTAGAGTTCTTCAAGCTGAGGAAAGGAACCACGGTTGCAAGTGAATGTTGTTCCCGTGTAAGAGTTTGACAATCTTAGAAGCTTTAGGTGGGCTAATGCTCCAGCAACTACCATAACATCCTCATTCTTTAGAGCACTATTCTTCAATTCCAGTATTAAAAGATTAGGTGGCAATAACAGAGACAGCTTCTCTACCTTAATTTTTCCAACCAATACCAGTTCATCTAGGTGTTGATTCTGAGAGAGAGCGTGATTTACATGTTTTAAGGCCACACCAAAGTTCCATTTACAGTGGAATTTATGAAGCCGATCAGACACAAGGCTTGGGCAATCAAAGACAGCTTCCAAATTATTTTCGGTTGACACAACCACCTTCAACTTACTTAAAGTTGGGCTTAGTCTTAGCATCTCTTGTGAAAACCAATCACTCCCTCCACATTTAACACCCCAGAGTATTTGCAAGTTTTTTAGAGCACTCAACTGTAGTTTTTCAAGAGTCCAAGGGCAATCAATTGGCAAAAATAGATGCCTCAGTAGCTTAAGCTTGCAAAAGACATTAGGAATTTTGACAGTTGTATTAGAGTAGTCAATATTCCTGTAGTCCAAAGTCAGTAAATTTCTTAATTTACCAATTGATGCAGGGAGTTCTGTGATATTAGAAGCCCGAATTCCCAGATACCTCAAGTGTATTAAGCTCCCGATTTGTGTAGGCAAAGCTCCAGTGGGAGTCTTAATTCCCCAAATGTTCTGGATTGGCATGAACCTGCCAAAGCAGGCTTAGCCCAACCTGATATGAAAGGTATGCTGATAAGTAATGGGTTATAATTTGGCACAAACTTAATACTACTACGACAGGTTGGCCTGCTTCTCAGCTCGTTTATTTTGACTAATCTAACAAAAACTTAAATTTATCAATGAGACCTACTGGCCCGACACAACACGACACGACATAATCATGAATGAACTCCACTTACAACTATTATATATAAGATCAACACGAGCTTGACATGACACGACTATTTCTTGACTCATTTGAATCACAAGCTGTTGAGTATGAAGGACGATGGCTCCGCACATGGGCCAACACAGTACGGCCCGTGCCCATCTTATTCTATACTCGAAGCCTTGGAGGACCTCCACAAAAGAGCCGCCATTTTTCTCTTCCACATCTCTTGATCTCTTCCTCAACAGTCAACAATCACAAAACTGCTCACCGAGTCACAGCCACAATCTCAGAAGCCCCAACATTCCAGAATTCAATTTCTGCTAACTCTTCAGGTATCTCTATATCACTGCCCATTTATAATCTTATGTTTCTGGTATACCAACTGAAATTCATCTGTTAGTAGTATTTCCCCCTCGCCTTATTGACATTCCAGTTGATTGAAATGAAACCCACCAAATATGTAAAAACCCCATTGACAATGGAGTTATCCGATGATTTAATCCATGAAATCTTACTTCGACTGCCCTTAAAATCATTAGGAAGATTCAAATCAGTTTGCAAATTGTGGTTTTCCCTAATTTCAAATCCCGAATTTGCCAAATTACATCTCCAATTTTCAAATCTTATCTCCATAAATAACCCACCATTAATCCTTACATTACAAGATAATAATGTTATATCCTTGTTTAAGTATAAAAGTTGTACTGATATTGCATTGGACCGACAATTTGTTGATGTTTTTGATTGGGGTCGATGTTTTATTGTTGGATCATGTGATGGGATTTTGTGTCTGTACATTAAAAGTAAGGTTAAGTTTGGTGAAGATTTGTTGCATCTTTGGAACCCTGTTACTAACGAAGACAAACAAATTTCATTGTTTGGGGTTAAGGGTTTAACTTACCTTCATGTTGGATCTGCTTGGTTCGGTTATGTACCGTCTTTAAGAGACTATAAGATCATATTAGTGAATACAAGTATTGGGGATAAGCCGGGTTTTGTAAAGCGGATGTATATGTACTCGTTACGTGATCCTAAATGGAGAGAATTGGATGTTACTGATGCAGGATCGTCATTTGCATCAGTTTCCAACTCGGTTCTCTTGAATGAAGCTTTGCATTGTCTTGGTCAGAAATGTATACATAAATTTGATTTGGTTGCGGAAACCTTTGAAAAGGTGCCCTTGTTGATCAAGCCTGATCTTCCGAAACCCCATCAGATTAAGCTTGGTGTCATTGGAGAAAAAAATTGTTTATGTGCTATGTTGGTACATCACTCTGAGGAAGAGAAATGGATGTTCGAGTCGTGGATGTTGGAGGAATATAACAAATGGGATTCTTGGAAAAAGTTGTATAGAATTGACTTGAAGAAGGAGATTGCCAGGAACTACATCGGATTTTTAGGTTTCACATACAATGGCAATTTTTGCATTCGAGAAAAAAATGGACTTAAACTCATTGATCCTTGCGATCCACCTTCATGTGTCATGGTTTGCCGTGGATCAGTATTCGTAGCTATTGATTATGTGGAGAGTCTTGTATCTCCGTTTTCTCTTGATTAAGTTGATCTGAAGTTCAAAATATTCAATCCATTTTAGGAGATCACTTGTGTGTACGGTCTGGAAGGCCAAATCATTTGGAGCAGAACAGAATCTGTAGGAAAAGATTCATCTGGTGAAGCATCTGAATCCACTAGGACAGTCTCAATTAGTTTACTTCAAGTATATACCTCGTCAATCAGACAAGACAGACGATGCTTGGGACTAAATAGAGGAGGTAGTGTCATAAAGAAAGTAATGTATGAAGGAAATACGCCTTCTCTGATTAGATTGTTACATTGTTACAGGACTCCTTATCATACAAAATGCACTATGACAGGGTAGGGAGAAATATCTGAAGATTTTTCTTAAATTCTTCAAATTTGTGTCAATCGTCAATTACTACGGGGTTAGTGCATTGTAGACCAATTTTACTTGTACAATGTCTTCTATTTCTGTAGCTGATAATTTCTACAGAGGTTGAAGTGTTGAATATGATTTGTTATATTTAACAAAGTGCTGCATAATTTTCTGTTTGATTAGTGTCAGTCTGCAATTCAGCTGCTTACAGTAATACTATTTCCTACCTGTTCCAAGTTTACAGCTGAGAAGTACAACACAGAGGCAGCATAACAACTTGCCACTAAAGCTTCGACGTGATTCAGGGTATCATAACACTTTTGAATCAGTTGCCCTGTTTTACAGATTCACAATAACCATATTCATCAAAATGAGTCACCATGCCTGAACCTCGTATGCCTTTGGATGTGATGCCTTTGGAAATCTCACAGCAGTCACGATGCCTGAATCTTGTATCACCTTACTCCTAACTTCTATAGTTCTACTGCAGGTGTTCGAGCTCAGAGAAGTTCAAATGTGAAAAGGCACATCCAATCCTTCAAACAAGAAAGAGGAGCGAGGTTGTTGATGCAAATTATTGAATTCCTAAGTAAACTCGTGACTTAAATCAAATATCCTAATGAAAGCTAAGCGAGATTCTTCTCTTTGGCCTTGGGAAGCATTACCCCACTGAATGTGATATTGACTGAATCTACTAACTGCAAGTCTGCAAGTATAGCTAAATCATTGCCATATTCTATTTTGCCTTGTCACAAGACCTAGAGGCACGAGAACAAGAGAGCAACATGCCAATGTCATACTGCTGCTCATCTATGAATTCTTACACTAATATGTTTAGTTGTACTAATACAATAATAGTGAATATAGTAGCTTGAATTCATACCTCATACATGCACGGAGATTAATCACCCATAAGAAGTAAAAACACATCTAATGAAAAAAGGGTGATACCTCATACATGCACGGAGATTCATCAATAATTGTTCTCACGTAAATAATATATTCATGAAAATATGTAATGGTTTATTATATGAATTTACTATAAATTGAGTGAGGGATAGCTGCTCAAGTGGTTAAAACTTTCTTCCCAGTTTCCATAAGATCTTAAGATTGATTCTCATCCCCGCTTTTGTGGCTCTCTAAGCACCAAAAAAAAAAAAAAACATAAAAAATTACACTTTTGTAATTTTTCAATTGCCTTATTGAATTTCTATTTGGTGGTATGAAGTTCAAGGGAAGGGGGGAAACACAGGAAATAGACAAATGTGGTGGTTTGGTTTGGGCCGGGGAGGAAGGACAGAGAGGTAAGCGAATGATGGCAAAGTTGTGTTGAAAGTAAGGCTTCCAACATTTAAAAAAATATTAGGGTGTGAAATATCAAAGTCCTTGAAAATTTTTGTGGTAGAACATATTGCAGCTCTTTGATGATTGCAATAGATTCATTGTGTTTCTTTATCATGTGGATTGGTAGGTATTTAAAACGAGAATCTCATTTATAGGATGAGGAAAAAGTCAGTGGAAAATTATTTTTGAACTTAATTTGGCTCTAAATAGTAGTGATTTATATAAATCAGCTAACTGGATGAAATCTGATCATCCTTTTTTATTAAGGTACAAAGTTATTTTCTTTTTTTCCCCCTTGTTCTATCAGATGTACATTATGTAAAAATGGGCTTTTGAAGATGATTCGATTGACCTTCAATATTTCCAACAGAAAGAAGAGTGAATGCCGGAATGGGTTAGAGGTGGGTTGCGGTAAAAATAGGGGACTAGGGGAGGCAGCTTTCAGGCCATGGTGGGAGAGTGGGGGCTTGTGAAGAGAAAGGGAAAAGCGTACTTTTATAGGGAATGTAGGATCAGTACTAATTGAAAGTATGCAGTATAAAATCTTTCAAATGAATATATACTTAGATTATGTATGTTTTTGTCAAGATAGATTAACATTTGACAATTTGTTAATTTGTAGACAATCTAAAATATACATATAATGATTGCATGCTTTTTGCTTGCTAGGTACTGTTGTACATTCTGAAAAAATGGTGCACCAACGACAGAAAGACCTTTGACATGACAGCTAAGCCACTTTTTAGCTGTTCTGTTTTATTCTCCTGAAGATCACTTATAAATCACAAAGATGGCAGACAGCCACCATCATCATCACCGGCCACACCGCCTATCAGTCCCGTCACGTCCTGGTGTGCTCACAGGCGTGCGCAACCCTACTCCCTATCCTTTAACCCCGACTCCCACTCCATCTAAAACCCGACTGTCTCAATCTACCAGTGGCATCAGCAACAAATCTTCAATCTCATCCCTATTCCTGGTCCTTTTCTCCCTACGATCTCTCTACCCTCTCCTTCCTTTCCTCCGTTCATCCCCATCCTTCTCTCTATTCCCATTTTCCTTCCTTGTCTCTCTGCTCTCCTTCCTCCTCACTCTCATCTTCTCCCTCTACTCCAAACACCCTCGCATTCCTCTTTTTTCTCTCTCCTCCCTTTCCCAATCCCAAGTTAGGCATCTTCTCTTCAAGTCCCTTATCTTGGCTATTGTCTTCCTCCTCCGATTCCAAGCCCTCCGTTATTGCGGGACTGCAGCCCTGATATTGGCTGAATTGTCTGGAAATATTGCCTTCCGATTCTGGAAGGTTCAGGACTGGGATCGAGATAGAAACTCAAGGGTTTGTGGATTCTTTGCCTTATTTACTGGTCTATTCCTTTTATCTGTCAGTTGGGATCGCATGGATTGTTTCCCTCTTTCTTATAGTAACCTTGATAAGATTCGAAGTTCATTTATGGTGGTTGTTGGTGGTAATTGTCTGAGAATTGTGCCTATGCTACTCCCGTTCTTATCTGGGTTTTTGGGGTGTTATGAGAGGGATTTGATGAACCGGGGGACTATTAGGCAGTTGGGTCGAAAGCGGGTTCAATTGATTTCGTTGTTCTTCACCACTTCGATGCTTTTTTTTCCTGCCATCATTAATATGCTTGTTTTTGAAGCAGAGGGTGGAAGTGTTTCCGTTGTGAATCTGGGTTGGTTGTTGGCAAACACAGTTTTATTTGGTGTCCTCTTGAATGAGTGGAATAATGATGAGAAGTGGGTGAATCCTAGAGAGTCTGAAAAGGAATTTTTCATCACCTTTGTGAGTACACTTGTTTTGGAGCTTGTTTACTTTCCAGAGCTCTCACTTTGGGGATTGTTGATCTGTGGATCATTGCTTTGGGTAGCCATTCAGCAGTTGAACTGGAACCATGCTAGATATGTGGAATTGGGGGCTGAATCTTCAGAAACATTCTCTTCAATGGTAATGAGGCCAATTCGCCACGTATTGAGTGAACGTAAATCTCGTAAAATTGCACTTTTCCTTATGATCAACACTGGCTATATGGTGGTAGAATTTGTTGCTGGTTTTATGAGCAATAGTCTTGGATTGATATCTGATGCTTGTCATATGCTGTTTGATTGTGCTGCACTGGCTATTGGGCTTTATGCTAGTTATATCTCTCGTTTGCCAGCCAATAGCCAGTTTAACTATGGCCGTGGTAGGTTTGAGGTGCTTTCAGGGTATGTTAATGCAGTTCTTTTGGTTTTGGTTGGAGCTCTCATAGTGTTGGAATCATTGGAAAGAATTCTGGATCCTCAAGAGATTTCAACTAATAGTTTACTGGTTGTTTCTGTTGGAGGGCTACTAGTAAATGTTGTGGGTTTAATCTTCTTTCACGAGGAGCATCATCATGCCCATGGAGGGTCTTGCTCTCATTCACACTCCCACTCCCACTCCCACTCTCATACGAGTCACACCCACCTTGACCATGACCATGTTACTGAGGTTAAGCATCAGCATGACCATGTTCACTCTCATGAGGACCATGATCACAGTCATAGTCATGGCCTCCATATTCACTCTCATGGACACAATGATCACACTCATTGTCATGGTCATGCACACCACGATCATGATCATCATGAACACCATGACCATGATCACAGTCATGCAGACCATGATCATGATCATAGTCATGCACACCACGACCACGACCACGACCACAGTCATAGTCATGACCATGATCACTCTTGTGGACACCATGATCAACATCATGAACAGGGTCTTCATATTCACCCTCATCACGATGATAATGATGTATGCAAGAGCATCGCCAAGCTTCCTGGAGCGGACTCATGCAGTCATAGTCATCATCTAGACTCAAAGACTGAATCCTCCCGAAATAAGATGCACCATCACCAACATATTGACCACAACATGGAAGGCATCTTCTTACATGTTCTGGCAGACACTCTGGGGAGTGTTGGAGTTGTGATCTCAACCCTGTTAATCAAATACAAGGGATGGCTTGTTGCAGACCCAGCTTGCTCCATATTCATATCCGTCTTAATCGTATCATCTGTAATACCATTATTGAGGAACTCTGCTGAAATTTTGTTGCAGAGGGTCCCTCGAGCTCATGAACAGGATCTTAGAGCTGCTGTAAATGATGTTATGAAGATTAAAGGGGTTTCAGGGATCCAGAACCTGCATGTCTGGAGCTTGACAAACACAGATGTCATTGGCACTTTACATCTTCGCGTTTCATCAGAAATTGACAAAGCTGCAACCAAATCTCATGTCATGCACACACTTCAGGATGCTGGGGTTAAGGATCTGACGCTTCAGGTAGAAAGTCTCAAGAGTTTGTAGTTGTTATCTGTAAATAGAATAGATATAGACTAGCACATTGGTTATATCTTTGATTCGATCGTACTTTGTTATATTTATAGCAAATTTTGATACAAATGAGATAGTTAACTATGGATATAAGTTTTCGTTGCTGTTTTTACGTAAATTGACTGTAGTATTTGGAAAACTCAGGTCAAAGTGTCAAATCTATACTCCAACTTGGATTCTTGTCATTTTTGGTTCAAAGTGTTTCACTCTATAAAGGTATTGTATGGGCTTGATTGTAGCCCAGAAAACGAGCACTCAATCTTTGCTGGAAGTCTGGAACTGAATATACTTCTAGGGCAAAGATTTGAAGTGGTCTGTAGCTCAATGATTACTCAATAATAATGGCTGGCTGGATTGTTGCATGTATATTTTTCTTTAACTTAATTTATCAAGCTTAGCTTAGCTCAATTTAGCGAAGTTGGATGTACCTTAGGATGTTAAAATTTGGCATTGATTGAATGCATATGGAGTAGATTTCAATAGATTATAAATACTACACATATGCACCTTTTTTTTTAGGAAAATATAATAATACAATATGCAATTTTACAAAATAAATATATGAAAATAAAATAAACCTTAATATCTATGTAATTGTGAATTTGTGATAGCTCCGTTTGATGTGACTTAAGCTAGTAATTGATGTTGCACTTTGGAATACCCAATCCACACCTAGAGTGATTAGGCCTTGTTCGGCAAAATAAGCAATGACAATCTAGTCATTAACTTTTAGTTGATGAACCGGTTACAAAGTAGCTATTGGTCTAGGCAAGAGACATATAGTTCAAAAGGTAATTATAATTTGACAAATGGACATCTATTTTTCAATTACTAATAGTCTAATACTATATACTCATATTAATGCACGAAATGAAAAAAAAAAAATGTACGGAGAATATATGTTCGATAGTTATTGGAGAAATGTTGGATTTTGGGTAGTTATATATATATATGTATATATATATTTTAATTTTCTTAAAAATGAGATATAATATATGAGGATTGAATTTTGGATGTTTAAATGTTTGCAACCCTAACACAATAACACTACTACCATAACCGTCGTACAACCGAACACTTCTATTTTATTTTTCAATTAGGGTTTTGAGTTTTTGACCTACTTAAAACTGTTACCTTGTCGAGCACTCTTTTTTTCTTTTTTGAAGAAACCTTGCCGAGCACTCCTATTTTTTTTCAATTATAGTAATAACCTCTATAAAATCGTCATACAACCAAACACTCTAATTTTATCAATTAGAGTTTTGACCCATTAAAAACGATAACTGCCACCTAACACGACTTAAACAATACCGCTATAAAAGAATCATAATAATTAGATGTCAACTATCGTACTTGTTTAGAGGTTTCCGAAATCAAATTCTCTCTTTTTCTTGATTAATTACTCGTATTACTAAGAGCAAAGAGCATCCCTTGGTATAATTA